ACACGCAAATATACAAAGAATCTATTCGAGAACCATTTTCGCTAAATTGTATACCCAGTAATGACTACTAAAAAACAAATATTATTGTAGCTAACGTGAGCAATGGCAATGCACCAGTAAAATACAATAGGACTAGCATAAATATTGATTTAAAACTTAAGCAGAACATTTAGGGATGTCGAAAAGTTTAAGGGCAGGAAAAGCTACTGCCCTGCAGCTTAACCCAACTTAGACTATGTTATTTAATATTTAATTATTATCGTGCAAATTTAGTTTTTCATGCAAAGTTTTCAGAAACGCTTCATCAAAATATTTATAAAAATATATACAAATAAAATAAGGAATACTAAAATATACAGAACTCATAAAAAAGGTAGTAAAATGATTATTTACATATAACGAATTCGACCTTTTTTTTCACAGAAATTCATTTTTACTGTCATAAAAAAAAAAAATAATATATAATAAAATCTGTTTTGTTGACTTTTAGCGAACAAACCTATTTATTTTTCCTTACATTAAAATAAATACTTGTACTAGAATATATTAACGGAAATTTCAAACACATACTAAATGGTTTATTTTTATTTACACTTATACATTTATTGCTTAAACAAAATTGAAAGAGTGACCTAGCATTATTAAAAACTATATTTTTAAATACCAAGCGTAGTAAATTGAGTAAAAATTATTTATTATTTATTATTCAAAATAATTGATACATGTTGTTGATAATATATATTATATTTACTTAAATATAAACAGTCGAATTCACGAGTTAAATATTGTTAAACTGTTAATTGAGCATAATCTCATCACCTTTTTTTGTTAAATTTTCTTAATTTTCATAGAATTTAAATATGAGATGAGTGTACACAGACTCGTTATCTAGAAGAAAAATCGTTTAATTAATTCAAAATAATATTTATAAAACAGCTATTTCAACTTATATTTTATTTTTCCTAATCAATTTTCGTTCTATCAATGTTATCGAAAATGCGTGCATACAAATCAATACAATATATCGCGGTTATAAACACCAATTAACATTTTCCTACGTAAAGTATGATCGATATATATTTGTTATTCCTAAAAAGCTATTTTTTTAGAACTTTATCCGTTGAAGAACAAAACTTTTGCAACAATCATTAATAATATACATAGTTACATACATACTATGTAAACGAAATAAATTATCATTGTACAGTTTATTTGATACACGAATAATAAATACAAAATTATCACTCGATATTTTAAAATTTTACCATATTTGATATTGAATTTAAAATATGTTAAACGAATGAATAAATTAAAGAAACAAATGTAATACGTAGTAGCTTGTTGAAATAGTAGATTATGAGAACTGGATGCCATATACTTACCGATAAGGTGAGTCATGTGTCAAAGAACGCATCATCAAACAATTTAAATATTCATGGTTTTTAAAACGGTCTGGTTATAACGTAAAATGATTCGGTATATATTTATATAATATTTTTAAATATATAAAACTAGGTATATATATATGACCTCAAGGAATTTTCAATAGTAAACGGATAACATTTCAAGCGAAATACATACTCTAAACGTATTTAAACAACGAATTAATGGGGTCTCCAACACTCACCGTTTGTACAGTAATCAAACCATTTTTTCGATTTATTTTATAATATTTTTCCTTTCTACTTTATACAGTTTTTTACAAATACATAAAATCCAATTGAGTTTCTGACTATTTATCGTAACTACCATGCAGTCTTAAACATCAAACGATTCGTTTTCACAAGTAATCGTAGGTGAAATGAGAAGCGAAAAATAAATGTTATAACAACACAATATGACTTATATAATATTATGTTTATAAAATTCTTTGAATAACGTACGTATCACAAAATGTATATTATTAAGTCTATGGTTTCGAAAAATATTGTAAAAATAATATTTTTACAAAAAACTTATACTTGGTTTACTAATAGCTCTTTTTTTATTTAAAATATTTTTAAAACTGATACAATTTTAAAATATACAATTTAAGCATAATTTATATCCGTATTGGTCGTTGGAAATAGTATTTTAACATCTATCATAATTAATTTTCAAAAAATAAATATATTTAATTTCAAATACAGTTAATTTTTTGTAAACATAAACTAAAACATTATTTAATATTATATTTAAGTATTATTTCTAGTTAGAAATTTGATTAATAAAAAACAAAATTAATTATCTTCATTTTTGTATTGTATACTCCAATCAAGATTATAGATATTCATTTATTTTTGTGTACCGAATATTTTCAGTTTGGAATAATTTAACCTTTTTATGTGGAGATAGTTTAAATATTATTCGAATAATAAAACTAGAATAATATCAAATAGTTAGATTATTAAAAATGTCTGACTTTTTTGAAACTTAAAACTATGAATTTCTACAAAGAGTAAATCAAGTAAATTTATATCACTAAATTATACATGTGTGAATACGGAAAAAGTATTGCACACATTTTTATTCGTAAAGTACTATTATTAGGTGACATATTTTATTCCTTACAAACGTACAAATATAATATAGTTAATATATTTCACTGTATTTATATTCACAATATTTTTCACACCTAAGAATGGGCCAGTCAGAATCCATTCGTAAACAACAGTTGCAATAGTCGGCCAATACACGTACAATACATTTATATTTAACGTCTATCGTTTTGCATTTCCATCAAGATAAGTTCGTGTTGAATAAACGATGAATGGGATTGTAGGCAAACTATCCATAAAAATGAAGCGGAACAAAAGCGGTTTTGGTCGATAAATTCATTGACCTGCGGTGGTGGTGGTAGAGGCCGTAAACTCGTTCAGGAACAAGATATATTGCCTTTAGTCGATTTACTCAAGAGCAACATTATACTGCGTCTATTACACTAATAACTGGTGCATCCGTTAAAATACTATGAGTCTGGTTATTGTATTTATACATTTTTCTTCCCAGTATTTTTCCTCGCCTTCACTGCAACCGTCGTTGTTTACCCTTTTTTGTTGATTAATATCAGCGTATAAATAAAAGGAAGAAAATAAAATCACCGACGAAAACACCAGATTATCAAAGTTTGTAGAGGTAACCGTGCATGAGTATGTATGCGGCCCACAAAAGGCAGCCTCCATGATAGTTAAAAAGTATAAATTACCTAAAAACATTATTTTATAATCCATATATACTTATAAGTACAACGGGATATTTTTTTCTCTCACTGCCGTAAAAAATATAAAATACTGGGAAAATTACGTAAAATTAGCAACGATGAGAGAAAAAATATAAAATTTAATTAAAAAAAGTTAACTAATTGAATTATTAATTAATTTAAAAACATAGGAAACATCCGTATCCTTTTAGCATATCCGGTTGGTGGTGGAAGCAACAGTGTGTTTCAGTCAAAGGATAGTAATTCCTCTTATTCGGAAGCCGGAAACACGGTATTTTACACGGTATATACCTACTGCGGTGTGATATAGATATTTTATTAACATTAGTATATTATAGAGGATATCTGCGTGATTTTATTTTTCCGCAGCGAAAAATACCTTATTTCACTATTCTACTGTAAGGTTGTGCTTACAAAACAATATACATATTATTCTAATTCTGTACTCAATATGTTCAATTCTGAACCTCTAATAAATAATGAATATTTGTCTTCTATGTGCATTTTAAAAGCAGCATGGCCTCTGCATCCAGTCGAAAATGTTGTTCTAAAGTTTATCATTACAAAAAAAAAAAAATTAAAACAATAACAAAAAAATTTCAATAAATGACGGATAATAACTGACTGCGAGAGTAGGTCACATCTAGTATTATTTATTAATTTACTGAACACACTAACAATAAATCCCTTGAATTGATTACGTAATTAATGTGATAAGTCTCTACATCGTTTAATTTTTGTTATTAAAAAAGGGTTTTTTGGATATTGTACGTCGGTTGTTAATCCTCCAGTTGACAAATTATCGTTGGTGCCAATCAACTCGAATCTTCGACCAGCCATATGCCTTGCGATAATATTGGAAATACATGATATTATAATTCATATCTGGAACCCGATACACATTTATCGGTTAGTTGGCGACCAACTAAACACACATGAACGTGACTGTAACGTTTATTACTGAACACTATAATATGACCAGTTAAAAATAAACACGATCAGTCGGCTAGCGTTTTCAACGTACATCGTTCACTCGACATTCAGATGTAACGTATCGTGCATAATCGGATATTAAATAATTTAAATTTTAAATCATAAATCGAAAAAACCAGGGCACTTTCGAAACCTGGTGTATAAAAACTGTTATTAGTATAACATACGAGTATGTTTGACGTTTGTAAGCAGTGGTCACTATGATCGGGCACTCTTTTCGCTTGTTCTCGTAGATTTTTAAACAAAATTTACGAACTGCTCTCTGTGTACATTTTCTTTGCTTGCAACGAAACCTTATATCTGGTCGACATACAACCTCATGTAATAACAATAACTAGTTCAATAATACTCGGAAAATAATCTTAATTTCCTTCTGATGTCTCGCTTTGCATCTCTTTTCTTTCAAAAGGTGCATCAGATGCCATTCTTCCTACGATTTCGATCTTATCCTACCGGAAAACATAAATTGTTCCGCATTCCAACCCGTTCCACCTGCTAAGGTTGAAATCATGACCCTCCTCGTACTCCACAGAATATTACTTAAACAATTACAACTCCCATCAATGATTCGATTCTAACGGTCCCGGTCAATCGCCACTCTTTCATTATCAACAGTATTTTACCCTTGTACTCTTTCATTTTCCGCGAATATCATTACCATCACTATCGTAATCTTCGGTAAAATTTTTAAACTACTTGATACCTGCTTTACGGCATCGCAACAACACGGCCGTAGGTCGTCGTGTTGTACACAGCTGTGCGATCGTAGACACCTGTTGACGGTTTGCTTTTATCTTGTTCGCCTCAGGTCGGCAGCGACTACTGGACTGGCTGTGGCGACGGCGGCGGGGGCGGCGCCGACGGTGGTGCCGTCGACGTGGTCAGCGGAGGCACCGGCAAGCAGCACCACAGGGTGGCGGTTCTCGTGAGGAAGTCGGCGCCGGGATCGCCAACACCGTCGTCGACTTCCAGTTACGGCACGGCATCGCCCGGAAACGATCTTATCGCCAGCGCGTCCAGCGCCCTGCGCCGACTCCATTTCAAGTCCGCCGGCGCCCAACGTATGCTCAACCGGTCCAAGCAGTCGCAGCAGCAGCCATCGCCGGTGCCCAAGGTCAAAGTGCTCGGCTCCAGCTCGGTGTCCATCGAGTCCTCGGCCACGGTCAACACTAGCACCGACTCGTCCGCAGCCACCATGACCACGGTGACAGATGACACGGAGAACGAGGACAGCGTCGACAACCCGGTGAGATGCGTGCGCTACCACTGGTCCCCGGCTACGGATTGTTATTCTTTTTTATATTTTTTCCTTGTTAATAAAAATAATATATTTTCTATTGGTCAGAATGGGGGGAGGGGCGTTCAACTGTTTCCGGTATAACCATGCACATTTGTCGGTATGATGTAGTAACGTACAAAGTCACATATAAAATGATAAACCTCGAAAATAATTTATTTTCATTAAATAATTTACACACTCTTAAATTAAATTCCAAGTTTTATTAATATTATCTACATTAATATAGCTAGGATTATGGATTTGACTGGTACAGTTTCATAGATGGACTAAAATGCGTAATGCTTGTAAAGAAATAAAAACCACAAAAATTTACTCTCTTTTACATCATGGCTCTCCAGCTACAGCCATTGCCTGATACTGAAAGATGACAATGGGTTTTCCATTTTTGTATGCTAACGTAACATTATTACAAGTCTTAGGATAAGTGATTTGCAAATTACAGCCGTATAATTTAAATCCTGAACGGTCACCCAACTGGATGTTAACGATGCCGTTCGGTGTTTAACAGGAGAATTCATTTCAGCGACTTCATGACTACCTACGACTAAATAACACTCTATTGTTTATCTACTGTAATAATATGGATGGTACGGAGTTCGGCAAGATGTCTGCAAATGTTTTTATTCGGTCAATCGTATTCAGTAGAAGTTAAGGATTTAGTTACGGTTTTTTTGGCCGACGTTGCTTTTGAATATGAACGGAAAAAAGGTTTTGTATTGTTTGACGATATTTTTTTGTGTAAATTAAACACATTTGCAAAAAAAAATTAATATTCTACATTACTTAGATGAAAGTCGACGTTTGGTTTTTGATTGCCAAAAATTATTAAACTTGAAAGGCTTTTACGACCATCTTTAATTTAATTTTTACTTTTTTAATAACTGAAATGCTTTAATTATTTTTGTTTTTTATTTTTTTTTTTTTTTATCTCAACGTTTCAACACTGGTACCTGTTCAATTTATTAACTACTCAGCTACGTAACGTGAATAATTATAAAATATTTTTTTTCGCCAAACTCGCACAACTATAATTTAACTAATTTATCAAAAACCAGATTTTTTATCCATACAAAATGTAAATTATCTATGTGAATCTGGTATTTATAGATATACCAATACATTTTTATATGGCATATAATTATATGATATTTTAAATTAGTTGAAGCTCCAAATTCAAAGGAGTCAATCTTATAATAAACGAAGAAGTTAAAAATCAACAAAATGAATCTGAGTGGTTAAATACCAATGTCCTCATTTCAATTTTTTCTAAAGTAGGGTAATCGACATGTAATTATTAAATTGCCGACTCGGTGGCCATTTTACCATAGTACCAATTAACTTGGAGAGGAGAAGAACGTCGAACGTGTCCAATAATATATTTTTACTTTGTATATCAATATATGTATAGTACATATCTAATTTTTCAGGTTTACCACATGTCAATGGCCCTATAAAAGATGTATTTATATTTTGATGATATACCGACTTTGAAATAGCTAAACTCTAGACTTTGATAAATGCATAAATTTTCCTCGCCCCATAAATGACGCCACTGTTAATACGCATACTCCAAGTTCGATTTTTTATATATTCCTGACAGTTTTCCATACTATTATGTCTTCACAAAACTTTACATAAATATCGAGTGAATGTTATTTTTATCATATCGTACATCTTAATTATACTTCCTATATTTAATGTCATATTTTTCGTACAACGTTGTCTAATGATTTTAACTAATTTGTGTAGCATTATACACCGATATATAATCACATAGTCAGCAATGTAGTACACGTTGTATTGTGTATGCGTATTATATTCACGATAAAAACAGAACCTTCTCTAACACTGCGATGCTAATAAAATTAATTATCTAAACCATATTTTAATAATTCGTTAAGAGCCCGTATACACTTAGAGAATATGGTTAAAAAATTACCTCAAAGCGTGTAAAAACTATTACATTTATGTAACGTGACTGGAAAAAAAGACTAACATACAAATACCCAACCACACTCTCAAAATGCGTTAGGCGAATTATGTTTATTATATCATATTGTAATCCCTATACATGTACCGTGTACAAGTGCGTCTATTGTAATAACTCACAAAGAGCATTCGGAAATCAATTTCCTATCGTCCAACTTTTATTGTAAGAGATTATTAAGCGAATAAAAATATCGTACGCAATTTATCTGCGTTGGATAGTTGATTAATATACGCATGTACGAATTCAAATTATCTCACGCTCTTTCAGCGTCCAAATATTCTCCTAAATTAGACGGTTACGTAACACACTTTAATTAAATTCTAAATTAGACATTTTTAACTGGCACCGCAATTTATTTTATTCAACTTGAAAACTAGCTCTTTAAAATCTCAAGCATATAAAACTTTGATAATTTTAATCTATCCAAACGCTCATCATTTTTATTTGTATTTTATAGTGACGCAGGTACACAGAGCGCAATATCGAATATTATGGTAATTTATTTATCATTTTTGACATTCGAAGCAGTGAATATTGAAACAGCAGATAAAATTGGAAAAGTTCATATTTTTTTATTGTAATAAAGAATCATTTTTGGTAAATCACGCTTTCATCCCCAAAAAATATTCCACTCTTTGCTTCAAAATAGTTTAGCATAACCAAATAACACATACATTAATCCCTTCTTGTGATGAATAATATAAAATATTTAATAAATATTAGTTTTTGGTATTTATGCATATTTTATTTATATCGTATAGTACGAGAAAATAGTTTAGATTTTGAAAGAAACAAAAAATGGATTAGTCTAACCATGATAAGGGTCTTTTTTTTGCGTCTATGTACCGATCATTATCTAATTAACAGCAAAATATTAGAAAATAGATTGAGTTTAGACCGTTTAGAAAGTTATTTTTTTTTAATATTTCCACAGCTTCCTGAATAGTTGAGAAAACAGAGAAAAAATTAAAGAAATTAAAATTTTAACCAAGACTTAAACCCGCACCACTAATAATTTTCATTATTTTGTCATAAGCTATTATTTTTGTATGAATGTATACGACTTTGACCAGAAGGATTTTTCCAATTATCATATAGTATTTTGAAAAGGATCACTATACAAATTCACAAGAGTTTTCTAAATAAATGCGAAAATAAACCAAAATATTTGTTGAACTATTTTTATATTATATATTTATAAAATTTAAGTTTCTTTTAAATTTTTTTCAAAAAAATCGATAAAATAATTTTGATTTGATAAAGTCTTAAAAATGTAATGCATGTATAATTCATGTAATATTTTACAAATGAATTAAAAATTTAAGCTTAATTTTAAAAAAAGAAATGTACATTCGATTGAGTATTATACTTTGATAGAATCATAAGATTCATGATTATTTTTTAATTGGGTATAAGATTTTCTTTGTATCTAACAAATAAAAAATTTAGTAAAGAGTCGTAAGAATGTTTCAAAATCATTACAACATTAAATTTTAATGTTATCAGATATTTTAACGAATTTCCATAAATACGATATATATTAGTTTTAGTATTAGTTATTTTAAACTTGAAATCATCGATTTTTTCAAATTTAAAATCCTTTTCTTTTTTGTGAAAGTTAAAATATTTAAAGTGCAACCAACCTTACAAAATTTGGTTCTTTTTCTATATCAAACATCTTTAGAAATATAAATGACCTATTTAATTTATTTCATTCCAAATTGTTTTTTCATGAGTATTTATATATTGGTTTCAAGTTCGAAAGACCAATACAGTAATACTAATAATCTATCCCTGTATCCCACGTGACGTGGGGTGTCTCATCCTACCTAGAAGATTCCTCTTTTTTTAATTTAATTTTATCACTATAAATCCTTATTAAAATTGTTAAAACTTTTTAAAACATGAGCTAGATTAATGGCAAAAGAATAAGGTGAAATATTGCAAGAATTTGTATTCCAAGAACATAAAAACAACTACTGGAGTTACCGATGACTGTAATAAAAGAGAGTTCTTAATTAAAATAAAATATGTCTTGTAAAATATGTTGAATGTTTATTAGGTTTAGAGTATATAGTACGATCAACTATCATGACTAATAATTAATACCTAGTTACTGTTATTCGATTTTTCTAAAAAAATATACACAATCATTCAACTACTGATGGGTTTATGTCTAAAATTCTATGTCTATAGTTCATACTTAAATAATTTAAGATTATGGTACGATTTATTAACTTGCAAATTTTAGATTATTTATAATCGATAGCAATACGGCAATAATCAGTGCCTCGGTGGCAACATTTTTGCATACTTTTGACTAAGTACATTTTATTACAGTGCGTTGTGCATTGATTGGTTTTTTTTCATATTACAGTTTGAACCGAAAATGCGTATTATTCCGAACCTGCTGGACGAAGTACTCAACGGTGCTCAGTCATCGTCGTCCGCAGAAAAGGATGACGAGTTCTACAGTGCCTCCAGCACCGAGGAACAACCTAAAGACGACCCTAAGGCCGTGTTTACCGTCCAGGATACGGCACCCGAAGAGTACGAGGACAGCGGCATACCTTTGATGCAGTACACCACGTTACCGAGTAGTTTCCACCATCAACAATACAATAACAATAATAACGATCATAAGACCAACAATAATTACGGCAAAGGCGGCTATGGAGAAAACACTATTGCGGAAGCTGAGAACTTCAAGTTGGCCGAAAGAGATCGGAACGCAGACGATGACGCAGACAACACATTGGAATGGAGGAACATCATGAAGCGACAAGCACTGCTTGAGAACCTTCATCGAAACACTATTATAGCAAATAAAAGGTCAGTCTACTAGATATTATTTTTAGTTGGGTTAAGAGAGAATAAAAAAAAAGCTTTTTTTTTTTTTTTTTTTTTATAAATATTCATCTTCAACGTAAACTCACCTATAGTGTCAATTGTTTTTTTTTTTTGTTCCCCGTAAAATATATTAAATTAGTCATCATGTTTGATCAACATAAAGTTTGAAAAGTTGCTTTGGAGCTTTGTAATATGAAGAGAATCTGGTATTATATTTTACAATATTGTTTCAATCACGTATAGTATACTCTAGATTTCAAATGAGTTTTAGATCTTTTCATTGAAACGAACCTCCATTATAATAAAAGGACTAATGGCGTTTAACAATAAAACATTCTTATTGTATCAAACATATTAACCTATTTACGACTGTTAGATTAGTTTGCATTTTAAAAGGTGTTATATGTCGAAGCCCTTATGGTTCTACATATAGGTCAAAATGAATTAATAATACTTGACACTAATAACACTTAATATTCAACTACGTTTAGTGCCCTAAGTAATAAGTGTGCTTTTATGAATGTCTAATGTTATGTACATTAGGTCTAAAATAAAGCAAGGAAGTTAAACATTTGTTATCCACCAAAGGTTAACGATTACAATTCTTCGTAACCTACAATAAATACTTAAAATACACACTTAACGTCCAGGGATCATTTCGGTAAACAAAGTATCTGTAAACTGCAATAATAACAACCCAACCTTTCATTTTAAAAGTAGTAAGTGTTTTGAATAAAATATCGAACAGTATACCAAACAATAAAATACTTATTTCATACATTTAATTAATATGCTATATTAAAACTGTGTGCTACCTGTGGTTGAAAAAACAATTATTTATTAATTGTTTTAATTTATAAAACAATGCATTTTCGAATGGATTTGAATAAAATTAATAAAATTCAATTCAATTTTAAATTGAATATAACTAATGAAAAACACAATAAGTCAAAATACTCTGCGATACTATGGATTGAAATACAAATAAGACAATTTTATATAAAATGGGTTTTCATTAATGTTAAAAAATAAAATAAAAAAAATAGAAACCTAACCGAAGTCTTAAAAATAAAATATATGAAATAAATACGCAATCAAAGAATTGTATTTCCTTGTTTGGGTGCAAATCATGTAATAGACCAACTGGGAAAAGAAATTAAAATACGAATAAAAGATAACAAAATATTTATAAATTCTAAACGAATAAAAAAAATCAACAGTAATGGAACGAACATAAAAAATACAAACATTTAAACTATATTAAAATATTTAATAAAGAAGTAATGAAAAGCGGACAGTAAAAGATGGAAAAAAGCAATATAAATTAAAAAAGGCCTAGGTAAATTTAACAGGAAAATAGATTGAAAAAAAGTAATGTGTGAAAAACAATTATGTACCAAATAATGAAAAAACAGTGGACGAAAATAAACACATGGAAGAAAAAGTAACCTTATAAGATTATACTAGAAATATATACTATATTTCACGAAAGTGAATCGTAATTTAGAAAAATAAGAACAATAAATGCATGGAATTCAATAATTATTACTCAATATATTTTCGGTGATTAAGATGAGTCATCCATGAAAATATAACAATTAAACAACAAATACTGTGGTCGGTATGGCCATAGTTTAAAGATAACATAATAAGAGTAAAACCAATAAGAATAAATACTAACCAGAAACAAGCAAATCAATCAGTATTAACCTTGAAAATATTCATCGTAAAAATGAAACCTGCAATGGATCCGAGATATCACAACATAACTGATGATATAAGGTATGAAATCTAAAGAGTCAAAATATTACTGAAGGTATTAAGTGTGCAAATGATGTATCAGAAAAATAAAGTATTATCGGAATACTGTATTATAATGAATTTTATCCATAAGAGTAAACATAAGAGTAAACAAAAATTATTAACCATAAAATTATATAAAATATTATATCTTACTGACAACGATACTATAACAGTAATAACATTCTCTGTTTAAACTCATAATTTTTGAAATTAAGAATGTACATTTGATTATTTTCAGTTCTATTTCCTGCCCACGTGAGCATAGTAGAATGTAGCATTTTATTTTCAACACATTTTACAATACAAATAAATTAGTTGAATAGACGATCAATCATTTAAATAAAATAAAATATGTATGTATAATATACATTGTATATATATATATATATCTTATTTTTAATTTTTTATGAACTTTTTTACTGACAAAAGTGGTACTAAAACCTTCAGCAGAGTGTCGGGTTTTAGCCAAAAAAAATTTCAGCCAAATCGGTTCAGTAGTTTTCTCGGTTAGCGCGGTCGAAGAAAAACCCTTACAATTTTATATATAGTATAGATAGATAGATAAATAATATAATATATATGTAATATATATGGTGTATTGAACATTTAATAATTTTAAAACTATTATTTATTACACATCAACATTTCATTGTAATTAGATTATAATTTTTTGTTAAAATAATCATTATATCACCAGCCTAAATAAAACCAATATTGTTTACATTTCTAACTCTTACATTATATAAAGACGATACAACTTATTATTGATAAAACAAATAATAATTTAATTAGGTACTTGTGGTTTTTGATGTTCCTATATTGATTCGAATAAAAAACTCTTTAGTGAATGTTTTTATAACGTCGCAGAGTAATTATACTACAAATAAATCAAAATAGCTTAGTGCAATAAGTGTAATACATTTACTGGTAATAATGAAAACGAAGTATATTGTTAGGTACCACAGAAAACTGTTTACTGTAGTCAATTAATTGTTTTTTTCTTCTTCTTAACCAACCTAACCTTTTGGTTGCTGTTTCTTGAAAAATAAAATACGGAGCAACAAATAGATGTGTATAAACCGATGTTGTGTGATAATAATTGTTCCATTTGTGTTTAGGTTAAAATTACTTTCGCGAAGATACGCCAAAAGTCGCTTCGAAGAGGACCGAACTCGCACGGAGATCGGTCGGAACTCATCCGGTTTCGCCGCGGAGCAGATGACCATCGACAGCGAGGACTCGTTCCAGGTAGACAACGGATCACCGCCCGTCCCTTCATCACCGACCGGTGTCCCTTCGTCACCGAATTGTTACGACGAATCGTCGCCTACCAAATCGAAGCAGCATTTCACGTTTCCGACAGTCAACGAAACAGACGAGCCAGCTGAACCGACCAACAGGTGAGCAAAGAATAATAATAATATGTCCATTTTCGATCACGTTACACATAGAGACCAACATGAGTGAGTACAATGAACTTGTTCCACGTGGAAAAATAAAAAAAAATTGTAATTTTTTATAAACATCAATACAGTTATTTATACTAAAATTATATGAAACAAGTATAAAAAAAAAAAAACATAATATTTTTTCGCTTCCCTCTAAAACCTTAACTACACGTGTGTCCATATGTGCCTGCATCTAAGACGAATTAAAAATATACCTCCCTTACCATTATTCGTACGTTTTTGCGATTCCAACTCGATTATCGAAACAGTAAAACAACAACTGACAAATCATTGTAATAGTCAGCCTTTCTGGGTTTTATTCTCAGTGCACGTCGAACAACAAAGGGCGTTGTAATTATATTATTAAACACATTTACGGATACTCTCGTTTTAATTTTTAAAACATGCCTCTTTCACCCGCACGATCGCATATATTTTTGTATCTTAACAAACACGTGTCCAACATCGTTGAACGATTACTATTAACATTTAAGTTATACACTTGTTGACGTCACGACATGTGGTAGTAGTTTCAACAAAAATTATATTATAAGCAAACCTTCGATGAGAAATTATATTAAAATAAAACGAAGACTGGTACGAATTGACTATTATCAGTATAGAATTAATGTAATATAAAATTTAAAATTTAACTTTAAAAAAATCTAAAAATTTAAAACTATTTACATAAAAAAATTAAAACACATAATATGACTAAATGATCATTATTTTTTTTACTTAACCGCAAGGCTATAATTAATTTGAATCGTCATTTTTTCATTTTTTCATCTGTCTATTAATTAATTCACTCTTCTGTAGTCTTCGTGTTCAAAAAATGATTAAAAACATATTCTAACCGAGCTTGTAATTTGTAATGGAGCTTTTTTTCGCAAACTGGTCAATGTACCGTGCTGATTTTGTCACAGGTTTTATCATAGAACGAATTTTTAATCACGTTTCAATGCACTAAAATAATACTATTTGAATGAATCATTTTCCATGTCACAATACTACTCCCGATCCTGTTCAATATTCCATGTAGAAAATCACCGTACTAATTATGGTCAATATATATATATATATATATCCACTAAATCGACTCGTTATTGAAGGTAATTTAAATTAATTTGATTCTATTTCTTTGATAACCTACCTTACCTCAAACTTCATTGCTCTTATTGTGAACTTTTATTTTGATAATTTCTGAGAACTGTTATTATCTTATTTATTACATTTTCCAAATAAATTTATCCCACTTATGTTATCAAATCTATGTTAAATAATTAACGTGATATTCTTACTTATGACAGTTTTAATTCAGATAAATAAATATAAATAAATAAAATTAATAATGAATCCATTAGTCACTAAAATTTCCGTATTATAGAGTGAAGTTTGAGAACCTATAACAAGTTGTAGGTAACACAAGACTAATATTTTATTTTAAATATTATTAGTTATGATTGAAAAAAAAATACTGAATAATTTAACTTGTGAATAAATTGATTTTTTTCAAATAAATTGTTAATAATATTCATAAAATAAATAAATAAAGCTTAATATTTAAGGAGTTCTACACCAATTAAATAGGCCACACGTTTATACCAATATCATTTATGACTTTTTTCATAACAAATAATATGTTATAAATACGAAACACACGATCATATCTAAAAATCATTTGAGTAAACACGATTATGTGGAATAATGAATAATGAATATTTTTATATTCAAACAATTAATCGAATATATCTTCACACTGCTAATCATTAATTCTGGTAATCACATTAGACATAGCGTGTTGTACGTTCATTTTTATTTTGTTGACATTTTCACAGCTTAAGCTCTAATCGCTGTATGGGATTAAATCGTGATCCATCGTTTACTTAGTTATTCAGTTGTATCTCTCACCGAACAGTCGACAACACATACTTCCTATTCACGTAGTAGGCCGTGCTGGAATTATAGTTTTTTTAAGTTTCTTTTAAAAAAACCACATTATTGGTCAGTATTCTAAAGCACAATATTGACACGATAAGGCGACGTGGATAATGGAAATGGCATAATTGTGCATCACAGCCAGTGGCGCAACCAAGGGGGGTGTTTTGGGTGTCTGGACCCCCCCTTGAATCATATTGATAGAAATTACATTCCATAACCATTGCAAAAAAATGTTCTATCTGCTGTCATAATTTATTTATAAGTAGGTATCATTAGAAATATTGTTTAAAATACTATTAAACAGAATGCAAATGTGTTAGTGTTATAAATATTTTGTTCATAGTTTACCGACAAATTCGAAAATTTATTTTGGCTAAAATAAATATATTATTAAAACCTAAAGATCTATAATATAATATAGGTACAGTATAGTATTGCGCAGTATAGATATCTGTGTTACAACTATGTACATAATTATATTATTAAACTTTGCGATAAAACAGGCCTTGGAAAATTCGACTAAGAAAACCCATAAGTGACCAAATATTTATCTTATTTCACCCCTTAATCAAATTTTCGTCAAAAATTGAATAATAATATAATATTTGTATAAGTGTCTGTATTTACGTGTTTTTATTATATCAATTCAGTTGTTCGATAGTTATTGTTGACGTCGATTAAATAAAATGAGAAAGCGTGTATGTATAACAGATTTTTTTGTCAAAAAAGAACCACGGCAAGAATTGACACAATCAATTGTGAAAACAAAAATTGACAAATCTCGTTCGGATAACAAATACTCTTGTTCAAGCTAACAAATAAAATATGAACATGTTAACCGCGATAGTAAGGTTAGTTTATTTGATATTCAATTATATTTTGATAAAATTCAAAAGCTTTCAAATAAAGAAAAAATTGAATATTTTCAAAAAACATTGTCCCCAGAAAGCACATTTGTATTTCCAACAACTGAGTTCAATAAAAAAAAATTAAAGTTTCAATTAAATTGGTTGGAGGTTGGAAAAATGGAAATGGATAGCGTATTCACAAATAAATGATGGGGTGTACACAATGCAAGTATTATGTTATATTTTATAAAACAGAAGGAATAATTGGATCACAGACCTTGGGAAACTTTTAGAATGTGGTATAAAGCAATAGAAGAATTTAACCATCATGAAAAATGTAATTATGACCTTCATTAAGTTGAACAATATTAAAACGTTATTGCCATTGAATCTGGGAAACAAGATTCTGTCGACTTATAATTAAATAAAGCGGCTAAAGTACAAAGGGAATTGAATAGAAAAATAATTATTCCTGTAATCGAGTCTGTGATTTTTTGCGGAAGAAAAGGAATCATCTTACGGGGACATCGTGAATTCAGAACATTAACGACAGAAAATCCGGTAGAAAATTACCATAATTTTAGAGCTTTAATGCGATTTCATTTAAATGCAACAAAATTATCTGATGATGAACCTTACCAATTAGCTAGAACTAATTATACAAAAAGTGCACAGTGTACAAGTTGACAGATTCAAAACGAAATAATCGGTTCTTGTCATGAAGTTATATTATTTGAAATCGTTAATAAAGTGAATAATAATAAATGCTTTACGGTTATAACAGACAAGACGGAAGATGTGGCTGACATTGAGCAATTCTCAATTTGTGTTCGTTACTTTGGTTCTAAAACTAAAATAGTAAAAGAACAATTTTTAAAATTTGTCTCTGTCATGAATTTATGTGGAAGCACACTTACAAGTACTTATATTAAAGAACTTACCGACATGAAAATTGAGGTGCAATATTTAAGAGGCCAAGGTTACGACGAAGCTACATCGATGTGTGAACGATTCAATGGTGTTCAGACATGCATAAAAAAAGAATATAAAACAGCTATATATATATATATATATATATATATATATCCATTGCTGTTCACACAGTTTAAATTTGACTTATTCTTATGCTTGCAGATTACAAGGTATTCGAAATACTATGGGGACAATCGAAAAGGTTTTCGTATTTTTAAATACTTCAAAAAGACAAACAGAATTTTCAAAACATGTCAAGGAACTGAATAAAGCACAGACTCGTAAAGTAAAATTATAGCAATTATGTTCGATAAGATGGGTGGAAAGACACTACTCGATAGCAATGTTTGAACAACTTTTTCGGCTGTACATTCATGTTTAGAAGAGATGACTAGTTAGGCAGATAGCGAAACATCAATTAAAGCTCATATGTTATTATTGTTTTTAAAAGAATGTGAGTTTAATGTTGGTCTTATTGTTTCAAAAAATATATTTCAGTACACAGTATCTTTATGTATAAACTTACAAAAACCTAACATAGATATAATTCAAGCTCTTGAGTACGATGATAATGTTTTACGTCAATTACATTTAATTAGGAATAATGTCGATGAAGAATTTTCGAAGTGTTTTGATGAACTTCAAAATAAATCAAATGATTTAGATTTTAAAATAAAAATTCCCGGAATTACAAAAATACAGACTTATAGACAGAATACTCCAAATAATACGGTTCAAGAATATTTTATAATTTCATTATTTATACTTTTTTAGATTCATTCATAAGTCAGTTAAATGACAGATTTATTAATCATAAAGAAATTATTCAATCGTTTTAAATGCTTTTTCCAATTGCTCCTCTTACTGAACAACAAGTAAGGTTCATCAAACATTTGGTGGAATTTTATACTGACGACTTGGAAGATTCATTAAAGGTTTTAGCTGAAGTAAAAATTTATCAACATCAAGTTTTTAAACTACGACTGAAAACCAATTTAAAAATGGTTACTGCAATTGAAGTAATCAATGATTGCAATAATGATTTATATCTCAACGTTTACAAACTACTAAAAATTATTTTAATGTAACCCGTGACATCTTGTGAAGCCGAAAGATCATTTTCAACTTTGAAGCAAATCAAAACGTACCTCAAAAACTCAATAACTGACTATAGACTAAATGGCTTAGCAG